TTCCATCGATCGTTACCCGTCTCCGGGGTGAGCAGGCAGGAATTTTAGCAGTCGGTTTCGCGTACGACCATCGTGTTTTAATAATAAACGCGTTCCTGTTGCGTCGCTATGGAGAGACGTATCAGCAGGGTGGAATTTAAGGGGATATGATCGTTGAAAAGAGTCGAGCATTTTTTAAGGAACAGTAAAATACTTGCAAACAAAGTGAAAATTGTGCAATTCTTTTACTTATGCTTAGAACAATTTGGAGATGATCCTTCCTTAACGAAAATTTTATTAGTTTTCTCTTAGATAATATTAGATGCGTTATCTCTGTATTATTTTTTAATCTTGAAATGTTTTTAATTTAATGTATCAATTTTTAGTTTTGCTACTTCAATTCTGTATCGCTTTTTAATCTCAAAATTCGCGAAGCGAACCTATAAAGAAGTAGCGCGGGTTATTGGAAAGTTTCCGACAGCTCTGGAGCTGGAGCTACGTTCTCAAGGGTTGAGGGAGAAATTTTTCCCGCGGATTCTTAAACTCGCGAGACGAGATATTACCGCGCTACGCAGGCGGAGCTGCCGGAATTGCCGGCAAAAAAGAGCGAAAGCTAGCAGCGAAGCGAAGACTAATTTTAATTAGTTACTCCCTCGGCACGCTTCGAACGCCTATCTCCCAGCCTCCCCCTTTCTCTTTTCCGTAGTCCTTTCGTCATATTATTTTCTCTTTCTCTGACCCTCCTATCTTCTCTCCTGCGATGTTATCTTTCCACGGTACGTTAAGAAATTGCGGCGAGTCAAAGGGAAGTCTGCTCACCCGGGCCGTTGCCGCTCGCTTCAGATCCCATCGAGGCCGTCGTTCCTTTCTTCCCGGCAAATTGAAGAGTATGAGCTCGAGAAATGCGTTCAGCCCATTTTCGGCAGTTGTTTACGCGATACTTGGATAGTGTACCATAGATGATTCGGTTGGATATCTATCGATTTGTAATTTTTTAGAAACTCCCTTTCGTATATCGTCAGGAACGTTATCTTTTCTTTCCGGTAAATTGAAGAACACGATCTTGAAAAGACCTTTTTGGCTTACTCTCGGCAATATTTTATTCTGCAATTTTATATCGATACGCATCAGAGCGCGACTTGATTAAGAATAAATGTATATCTTCGGTTAAGAAAACGTGATTACCTGTACTCGAAAATGAATAAGCAAGAACCCGGCTGTTACTAAACTGATGAACTCTCCCGGGGACAAATAATCATCTTTCGACCAAGGCGATATCGCGTTTCCGAAAATTTACGATCGTTCGATCGCGTTGGACGGTTTACATCTATAACCACCCTCGTAAACGGTCCCGACTCGTGTAGGGTTTCTCGAATCGGACCTTCGAGGCATATTTAATTAGGGAAAACTTCACCACGATGTGTCCTTGAGAGGATCGAGCATCTACCACGATCCCAAGAATACATTTTTTTAAAGAAAGCGCGAACGTGATAATCGCAAGTGCTTGTAATTAGACGGAAACTTCCTTTATTTATCCAAATTCTTTCAAGTATACATCCCCAAACTTATTTATTTCTATGGATAGACACTTTGCAGCTTTTTGACAAAAATTTTTTAATAAATACTTGAAATTCTCGCAATTATTTAGTTTTCTCTGCGTGCGATTCACTCCTTTGACAGTCACTGTGGTCATGAAAAAATTACAAACAGGGAGATATTAGCAAAAAAGCTTACTTTTTATGCTCGCTATTCATTCTCTCTGATATTATTCATACAAAGGGAAAGTTACGAGGCCACCCTGTAAAGAGTTAAAAATTCGATACCGCACACGGAGTCCCCTGACATTATCTACCCCTATATTTCCGATGTGAAAACCACGAGAACGAGATACTCCGTACGAATGACTGAGTCATGACAGAGACAGAAAAAGGCAGATAGGAAGAGAAAGAGAGAATTTTGAGACCACTGTCAGTCCCGGAGGGTTACGGCGTCGGTGACAGCATCTTCCGACACTGATTAATGACGCGCGGAGTCAACGACTAATGCTTTGGGGTGCGCACTTTTCGTTCTCTCTGTCTCTCGTTCTTTCCCCCTTGACATTTTTCAATCGGTCTGCACCGTTCACGATGGCTTCTCGCCACAGCATGCCCTAAAATTCAGAATACAATCCTCAGCCGCTGTCGATCCGGCTGCTTTATTAAATCCGCATGCGAGAGTTATTAGGCCGCCATTAGGATGTAATCTGTAATCGAACGGGGCATTGGTCGCCAAATTTATTACAGGTCTAGCGATCGTTGCACGTGCTACGCGGGAATCGATAATGCGATTAATGTGGAATACAAGTTTGAAAAGAAGTAAAATAATAATTATTATATTTCCATAAATAGTTTCGCGATGTAAATTTTGATCTTCAAATAAATAAAATTTAATGTGCCTTCCTTTCCAAGGTAATTTAATTAATCTCAAATTTTATGCTACATCAATCAAACATACAGCTAACAGCTTATTCTCATTAAATTATAATTCAAATAATATTATTTATTACGCATTCAATACTCTCAATCGACAAATATGCAAAATTAATAATTATCTTAGATAGTGCTAACGAGCTCATAAAATAAATCGCGAAATTACAACATAGCGGACTCGATAATTTATCGAAAATGATTTGGGATATACGGAATATACATACGCACACGCAAAATACCCGTCGTATATTTATTTTGATACGTTAAATATTTCGTAGCGTGTGTGTTGACTCTCGCGGTGCTCGGCGCTCAGCGTTCGCTGTTTACGTCGTGACGTCATCGTGCGCGCGCGGTCGCTGCTTCGCTTCGCCATTCCGTCGTCGAGACTCGAGCTGGTAGGCAGCAGCGCGTGCCGCTCCGTGCTGCGTATTATCATCCCTTCGAATACGATAATTTGCGCAGCTTATGCGATGTACTAATCTACCCGATTGCTGACTTGTTTCGAGACATCATTAGAAGCAAACGATGAATTTACCCAAGCAGGTATATCGCTCGAATTTATTCCGATTGAAATAGGGGATCGGAGCAAAAAACGAGTCGAGTCACTGTTTCGTGTCTACGGGCGATAATTATATCATTAACGACGTTTGTTCCTTGCGGATCGAATATATTATATATCATATCGTTTCGTGCGTTTCGAATTTTTTATTAGATGCAACTTTTTCGTCCCTTTCGAATTGAGAGCGCAGAATAATGCTCACGTTGCCGGACGAAGTGACTTCAGTAATATCGAAAGCCATGATATATCAATAGTTTCGTAGTAATCGGGTTCAAATATGAGCAATAAGGCCCGGTATTCGGCATAGAATTGCGATTCACGTTTACAGCGCCGAAAGCATCGCTCTATCTTCGTCTGATATTCGATATGTGCAACGAAAACGGAAGATGCTTACAGCGCGTAGCGTGAAGTGAGCTGCGAGCGTGAATCGAACCGCGCAGCCATACATTTTGTGATTAATTTGAAAATCGCGGCGATGACGTCACGCGCAACGCCCGGCGCCCGGTCGCCCGGTGTGGTGTACCGACGCTGCGAGCTGCGATGCACCGCCACCGTGCTGTAGTGAAAAGAAGTTCATGTCGTTTACACTTTACGTTCGAGGAACGAGACTCGAGCTGGCAGGTAGACACGCAAGTCGCTCTGTGTCATTATTGAATTATTCCTCTCTGAATTATATCAGTAAAAAGACGATTCGTATTTCGTTTCCGACGTTTAGCGACATCAATCACTTTTGCGTGTGTTACGCGAGATATAACCTATAATATATGTTCGAAATATCGTGTGCGTGTAATACCGAAATTTAATTGAATATTTTTTATCGCTCTCGAATTTATCATTATTAACTCGACATTATTGCGTTTATCGCACGGCATCGGGATGAAATTGCCGGTGCTGCTTTCGAGTTTTTCGTTCTTCGACCAGTAAACGGAGTAACGGGATGTCGCGGATCAAATCCGCATCGGGCGTCGTCGGGCGGTATCGTGGCGTGTTTTCAATTAGTAAGTAGAGTCATAATAATTGTCGACAGTTATTAAAGTTCTGTTTAATATTTGTAACTGTAGTAGTACAAATACTATAAATTTGACATCATCGGTTCAATGAAACGTCTACTGCGAAAATCGTTTGACCGAGGTCTATCGAGCGTAAACACGAATCGACAAAGCAAAGAGCATAGTTTTGAATGTTACACACTGCGATTATTTATCCGTAATTTTAACATGTTTATTCACCCATTTGTCATAATGCAATTTATATATTATTATACGGAATTAGATTTTTTCTAAATCGCGAACATGTATTATTTGTTGCAGTGTGAAAAATGAGGTTAGGAGCAACAGGTATTTGAACTTTCACCATCGCTAAGGATTCGTGTCGATTACGCGGACAAAGTGTCGAACAATTTTGCATTCGCGAGTGAGTGTGTGAGTGAGTGCAACGAGGGAATCTGAGAGGAGGAGGAGGCTTGGGAAGCATCGGGCGACAGCGGAGCAACAGTGAGGTAAATATAATAATCTATAATTAATTAATTATTCAAATAGTATCTAGTACTTGTAATATTAATCGTTTATTCTCTCCATTCTCTCGTCTATTTACATATATTTGTGTTTGAATGACTTAAAAATAAGAATTAGAAAATAATTTTTATTTATGAAACTTTTAAAGAGGATTTATTTAAAGAGAAAACCACATTTTCAAGAAGAATTGGATAATTGTTTTATTAAATATCTACTTAAAGACGAGTAAAAAATTTAAAGCGCGTAATAATAATTTTCTAAGAATATTAGTTATTTCGAGCGCCGTAATAACTTTGATATATTTGTATGTTACAGTTCAACACATAGTTTGCAACGTAGTTTACTCCGCTGCAGCGCATCGTCTCGGTGAGTTAAATATATATATCGAGTCAATGTCCTGTTCGTTTTGAGGATGCACGGTGCGAAAACGATGGCCAGAGCCGATGGTGACATTCTATTGTTCTCCTCGTGTCGCGCTACTCGCGCCAGATGAACAATCAAGCGTTCCATCAGATCGTAATTCGGTTTCGGCAATTTCTTCAGTATGGCGAAGAGCGTGCTGATTCGATCGTGCGGATCCGTCAGGTTTGCCGCGTGCAGAAAGTCGTCGTAATATTCGTAGGTCAAGAGCGGTTCCGGTATGTCTCTGAAAAAACTCTTCAGCACCGCAGCTAGGACATGCACTTGATAGTTCTCGAAATCCACCTTCTCTAAGTCGCCCTCGTCCATTTTTATTTTGAGTTCTCTCACTTTGGAACTAACACCGCTCTTTCTGTATATGCCCTCGGTATAGAGACATCTCGTGCATCTCGATAGTTGTGATCAATCGATGATCTACTGCGAGTGGTACTTTGCCGTCACCGCAGTCCAACTTGTACAGTGGTACACCAAATACTTTGCGCGGTAATTTAATACTTATTTTTTAAATTTGATTTTACATAGAAGTCTAATACTTGATTACTTGGCACCAAATTAGGATTGTCAGTACATATACATGTATAACAATATCATATTTTACGAACAATATCATATTACTTGTCTTGTAAGTTGTTTAATCAACTAATCATTTGATTTATACATTAGTTTGCGAAATACTTGTGTCGAGTAGTCAATATCATTTGATTTATATATCTGACGAAAGAGACCATCGGATAATCCATCCGTTCTTCGTTACGCCGTAATTCCATCAAGCTCCCCCAATTAATCCGCTCGCTGTGTATAGCACGAAATGCAAATTGGCAGGCTTGGGCGCACTTTCGGACTTAATTGTCGTCGCCGGAAATGCCCGCTTAAGCGAATCTGGTATTTATATTACCGATAAACGGGGAATGCATATTAAAACATGCAAATCGACTAGATAAAAATTCGGGTCGCTCCCCCACGCTGTTAAACGGCCGGAATGCTGAGCCACGGAGATTTCAGGGATTTCGGACAGAAGGGTGCTCACGGTCGGAGTTTTGAACGATCGCGGGTTCGTGCTTTACTGGCTGTTTCGAAGAAAGGGGATATATAGCGCGTCGCTGCTGCTGATGCAAACGATTCGACATGAAATTCCGACGGTAACACGCCACGTGCATTCCTGTCACGCGTGTCGGCTTCCCTAACAAAGCGAGGGGTTGCGGCCGGGCATATGGGGGTAAATCAAAATTTCGCATCTCCTATATACGCGATCGGATCTGCGTCGGTATCGTTTTGCATTAGCTACCGTTATTTCCCCTGTTCAGTTCGAACTGAAATGCTACGTAGCGAATAATCGGGAATCTGTCGCCAAAGAGCAGCAACGATAAAATAAAAATTAATTACATATTTAAACATAATTTTATTTCAAAATTTATTGTATGAGGTCGACGAATACTTGATACATATCTTAATCTGGATAATATTTTACACAACATTTTTTAATCTCTCCTCTTGTCGGTTATGATTCCTTAGTTGCATCGATTCCGAGAAGTTGCATCAGTTCTGGGACACTCCGTATATATCATGAGCAGCATGTTATTAATGCTGTCGGAGATATAAGATATAAGGAATACAAATAATATGAACGCAGCAGGTGCTACTGCATCTTTCTTCCCCATTGCGATTTTTCAGGTTCTTGATTGAGGCATTAGCGCGCGGCGACAGAGCGTCGTTTTTCCGATACCACGCCGCACCAGGAATTATAGCAATTTCGAGATAAACAGCTACCTCGCGGTAGAAATTGCCTCGACGACGACGTCGCAAATCGCGGAGCGTCTTCATAATTCCACGTCGCGTCGATCATTCGCGCGATCTGTCATCGCTGATTATCGTCGTTCTTCCTTCTCTCTCTTTCTCTCTTTCTGTGTACCCTCTTTCTCCAACATTTTTTATTTGCGAATGGATTTCTCCGTCGAATCACGTTCGTATTGTCCCGCGACAGACACGACCACGTTGTCAGAAATTTTTCGATGGTCGAACAATAGAGCTTTCGCAATTGCTTCGCTCGTGCCGAAGCGAAAATCCAGATGGCTGGAGAACCCGGAGAGTTTTCAGATAGCCTTCAATTGTCATCGATCGTCACTGATTATATCGGTGCTTGGAATAAGCCTATCCACCTCATTTACCTTTTTCACGGAACAAGCTGCGATATTTTGATTTTTATTGATAATATTGTCTTGTGGTGAGAGTAGAATGAATACAGCCGGTTGAGAAATATTACCAAACAATTAAAACTATTTTGCAATTGAATGGCACAGGATATTCTAAATGTCACGAAATAAATTCATTAATTATTAGGTATATACCCCGAACAATTATCGAAGCTCGTGAAGATTATTGTGTGAAAGGCTGAGGCTCTATTCAAAGAGACTTCTCTCCCTAAGTTTTATGCAAATAATATTACGTTCTCGCTCTTCTTCTGATCGCAGCAATTCGATCATTTAACATATCAAAAGATGGTTCATGTGAATTGCTTTTCGTGGAAATTCGACGCTTTCACTTTCGTTCGCACAACGGCTGGTTGTACACGTTGGGAGCGAAAGTGTTAATTCTTTATGAGTAACCCCATACCATTCATAATTCATAATTAATGACCGCGGCACGGTATTCACAGTATCGTATTATATGTTTTGCCGTTGCTCAAATAGGACTTGAGCCCGGAGGATAATGTGTATTGTATTGTTATTATTATCGTTATTATTATGCCGGTGAATTTTTTACGC